TCTCTAAAGGAGATCTTACATCTCCAGTGGTGAATGACCTCATCTCCCGAGTGTGGGTGCCGCGTCTCCCGCTGGAGATGCGGTGGCATCTCCAAAATCTTGGATATGTGACACTACTCAAGTGCAGACATTACATCATCTTCTTTGTTTGAAATTGGCCTAATTTCAAGTTGGAGTGGTACCCAAATTATCCTTCTTCTGTACACTGAGAAAAAAGGCACCATACGAAACCCAAAAAGCTTCCGATTTTTGTAACGAAATCGAAATCCTTTGAGGTTTCGTAGAAATTACGTTTCGTAAAAAGTCTTAATTTTAAGCGCTCATAGCAAGGGTTTCGTACATGGGGTTCCGTATAATTCACCATGAAACATTAAGCTGCGGTTTCGTCCAATGCTATACTCCATGACGGAAGTACTGTTACACCACTATACAATGCAAAACACATGTACTCTCTACAAAAGAACCCCATTCTTTAGAAATCGACACAAAAGATGCCTGAGACTCACCGTATCCTATAGGTAAACACACTACGTCGCTGCACCATCAAATCAGCATTCCGAACGAAAACTTTCCCAAATTGTTTGCATGACTTCCAGTGCATCTTTCCATAAGACGCAGCAAGTTGCTCGGAACTAACCAAACAAAATCAGGAATTTTCCGACCAGAAACATGCTTCCATGTGCAGCTGATGCCAGGTGTTTCGCTACAGAATACGGCGATTTTAAGGCACTTTTCAGCCAATAACTCCAGGTTCCGGAAGGCCAAACGATCGGCTTAGCATATTTGATCTCAATAAAAATAAAACAATATATCTACTTTTAACTATGAAAATATCACTCACGGTTAATATTTGTTCATTTCATAAGTGATCTAAATAAAAATAAAATAATTTATCCGCTTTCCAATATCAAAATACAACTCACCATTTACATTTGTTCATTTGATAATTGATCTAAATAAAAGTAAAATAATTCATCCGCTTTTAACTATGAAAATACAACTCACCATCTACATTTGTTCATTTGAGAATTGATCTAAATCAAAATAAAATAATTTATCCGCTTTAAACTATCAAAATCGATCTCAGCATTAGTATGTGTGCAATGGATGTGCCCTCTGAAATTAAAAATGTATTTTGAAAAAGCTTGAAGCTCTCGGAAACCCCCTCGGAAACATGTAGAAGCTTGCGAGAGTGTTTGCGAAGCGGTTTGGGGTTTCTATCAAACGGGTTATTTTTTAGAGAACAATAACAGAATTCTGCACGAGCCTCAATGGAAAGCAATAGAATTTTAATATTTCAAATGATGACTTACCAACAATAAATTTCTTCACGAACTAAAAGAGAAAATAGATTCTCTATGAATTCTAATTATAACTCACGAAAGATAGAATTTTTACAAGGATCAATATTTGAAAAGAATTGAATTGTCCTTTTTTGATAGTGTGTTGAAGACTAATGGGTTTCATTCAGTGGAGCGATATACATAGTAATGGAGTTCACCTTTTAAAAATAATATTTACGAATAATATTATAGTTTCGTTATTTTAAACATAGTTGGGCATCATTCTTTTGAAGTGTAGTGAATTTTAAATTTCTCTCGTGATCCTAATGGATCCTGCAGCTGAGATCTTAGAAGAATGTCCACAGAAGTCGATGTATGAATCATTGATTGATGTAGTTTTTTGTTACCATGTGATTAGTGTTTGTCGCATATTTAACTTTACTATTCTCGTATCAGTTTATTTTAAATAAAGGTAAGTAAAAAATGTGCGAGGAAAATAAAAGAAGTTTCTCGATATAAAAGATAATAGAAGATGTTTACGGAAGCAGCTTCTAGTCCAGGTTTTTCAATAGAGAAGGTATATGATGTGTGAAAAAGGAGACCATATAAGCAACACAGTAAATATTGAAAAGGCAAAAAGTATTAGTCTTTATTTATGTTTTTGTTTTATGCGTTTTAATCGTGAGGAGATAGATCCTTCGGGACTATGCCGACGTCTTTTTGATGGAGAATTATGATTTGGTGATTGTGTTGATGGCATTACGGCGGGTTCTCGTTTTGTGTTCGTTGTTGACTGAATATATATTGTTTTTATTCGAAAGAACTGATGCTGGTGCTTCAATATTTTCTTCTTTTAATGATGAAAAATGTATTTGTGATTCAGTATCAATTGGTGACGATAGCGACGATGATGATGCGCCTTTTGAGGAGTTATTTACATTTTCATTGTTAGCATTTAATGTCGTTGTCGTTGTCGTTGTTGGATTTTGAACATCATCGGCCACTGCGGACAGGGACAATTGCTTTTTTTTTGTCAATCAATGGATGTAATTTATCGGTTGTTCTAGTAGAATCGTCTTGTGGTTCTTCATCAGATGCACTACTAGGTTCATTTTCTTCTAAGCGTGTTAAATCCTTGGCCGAAGCTGTATGTGTATTATTATTGATAGATGTACTTTTAACCAATTCATTTGTTTGTTTACGTTCTTTTTTATCAATTGTGAAGTTCCAATCTTTTAATATAAGCCGTAATTGTTTTGTTAATGCTGATGGCTGTTGTAATAGTATCCCGTATAATAAGTGTATAATTCGATTATGTGTACCAAATTGTAATTCAAATATAACATATAAAGAGATGATAATGCATAAAGCTTGGTCTATTGATGTTGTTTCAGTAATAACATCATAATCTAAATAAATCACGTATTTGTCTGTTGTTACTTGTATTGTTGGACGAGGCGATGGCGGTTCCTTAATGATATAGAAAAAAATGCGGTGAGTTTTTTATTTAACTAAGAGCTATATTCTTTTATTATCTAGCTACTGTTCCGTAGTTTATATTTTCTGAGAAATTAAGCTTACTTTGTATGTCAAGACATATTGCCATGAATCAGCAAAGCATCGAGATAAAAGCTTGATCAAACGTACAGTTGGAAGATCTAAACAAATATCAAACGGGATGAAACAGACAAACAAATCTTGAGTAACCTGACTAGTTACTTACCATTAACAAAGCCTAAACTATCGGGCATATTGGTAAGTAATTTTGGTAACATAGATCTTACATTCGCTTCAATATCAACATGACATAAATATTGAATCTCATCGACGATCTTAAAAACAAAAACTTGTTGGAAATAAATAAATCGTTGTCGTTATTGAAAAGGAGCGAGATACTGATTAAAATCTAAATAAATGATAAGAATGTGCTTACCAGCGATCGATTACGATAACCAGGATATTCTTGAAGAACTTCTTTAGTCGTGTGATTTTGAACATATGATCTTCTTTCGACCAGTGTTTTTTTTCCAGGAGACTTTAACACTATCCAAATCAAAGTTTTCCTTTGCCAATTCGTTCTTCATAAATTGAATATGTTCATCAAAACCTTGAGGATCATCGTTAACATCTGCTTTATTCCAAAACTCAACTTGAACCTTGAAGAAGAAAAAAGAATCAATTATAGTGTACGATTAATATTATATGCATGTGCTTTGATTAACACTTACTGCACGACGAGCTGCGATTACATTATCATTTTGCTTGACCGGACGACCAGCAGAATTACCAAATTTCAGCTTCCTCTTTAAAACTTCTTCGGATATTTGTTGAAGCGAACGACGTTCACGTTTGAATTTACTTTTAAGGCTTTCCGTCCAATCGTTCTACAAAAAAAGCTATCATTATGTCGACGAAATATGTAGTAAAAGAGTTCCTAGATCCTACGTTTTGAATCTGATCTTATGCATGATTCACAAAGTTTATAACAGACTAGATAGCTTTCACATAATTTAGTATTTTTTATTAATCAGAACTATGTGTTAAGGACTGTGTGTTAATAAAATATGTAAGCTAAAAGAAGCTATAGAATATGATAGACTCTGATGTAATATTTTGTCATAGCTCATAGAAAGAAGTTAGTAAAGTTATGTGCATAATCATCTGACCTCTCAATGCAATAACTCTCATTAATGGTTAATTTTAACACAGTTTATTTACCAATGCATCAGTATCATTCTTAATATTTAATTTTTCCAATATTGCTATTGCCATTGATCTGTACTCGTGTGTATTAGGATACCTAAAAAACGTAGATAAATATATGTTTTCCTTCTTAGATAAAGAATCGTAGGTACTCACAATAGAGAATATTTCGTTGCAATATCAGCAAAAATCGCATCAAGTAATAGTCGACGAGCGTTTGTATGACTACGAAAATGATTTATCTCACCTTTGTCTATAAATTGTTGAATTTTTTGTGGTAAATCCGATATAATATATATATTTGGAAAACGTCGTTGTTCTTCATCTCTATGGTTTTTCTTTTGCATCATCTTCTTTTGATGAAATCATTGTTTCGTCATTCATAACTTCAGAATCGGTTGATGAATCAAATGCAGAATCATTACTGGGATGATTGTTTGAAAATGTAATCGTAGACATTGTTGTGAGTTGATTTGTGTTACATTGTTCAATCACTTGTTGAGAATTATTATAAAGTGAATTATCAATATATTTTTCGGATGCTATTTGATCAGAATTATTACAAGCCATGCCATGAAAAAGATTGCGATGCTCTGCCAGAAAACGTGCACGTTCTTTAATTGTTTTTATTATTTCATACATTATTGACTGTGGTAAATTAAAAAGTGTTTCACCATCGATATCTTCTCCTAAAAAAGAGAGAAAACGAATTAAATTAAAAAGTTCGATAATATAAAAGAATTAATTGTCTTGCCTTGGTACTATTATAATCTTAATAAATTACTTATTTTTGTTAAATAAATTTAAAATAGAAGCACTTTCTTTACTTAGTTTATACTTTTTTTTCTATAGTAAGACGTGAGAAGATGTTAACATAAGATTTTTCGTTTAACTGATAAATATCAAGTCCCTTTGGTAATAAATGAATGAGTTCATTCGGCTGTTTTATCGACAACAAGTGCGTATGTTCAAGTTCATATGCCCATAATGATTCATTAAAAGCAACTATTTCCAATTATTCAACTATCAATAACCAATCATTAGCAATTTTTAAAATAAAAATCACATGAAGAAATGAAGGTATTTCTTCTTCTTCAACTAAGTTATTCACAAATACTGATCCCTTAATGAACATGACATGATCGAATTTTAATCGTTGATATTCCATGACTGTGGTCGTGTCATCGAAATGTGCGATTTCCCCTTGCAATAATTTACGAACATCAGCTGGTAATGTATATATATGTTTTTCTGTTGCTGAATAACCTTCTCTAATCATTGTGCAATAATCAGGCAATAATAAAAGAAGGCATTGTCGTAGTTGGTGACGCTTTGATAACGTGTACAGAATGTTTTTGAAATTATTAGACTTAACAGCAAGTTGTTTGAATATTTGATGTTTTGCTTCAAAACGCATGCACCAGTGGCGAATAGATGGACCATACATTTCGATTTGTTTTGCATAATGCGATATAAAATGAACTTTTTGTATCATAAGATTAGGCAGCATGTGAACAATTAAACATTGAAAACGAATAGTTAACGAATGCAAATACGGCAACCATGATTTACGAAAAAGACAAGTATAAACAAGACTAATGATTTCACGTAAACAAACGTAAATTTCTTTGGTATCTAATACATCAATTATGTCATGGAAGATAATAGGAAAGAGTTTGAAGAGACAAATCTTTTACGATGCTGTACCAATAATCTTTCCTTTGTTTTAATGTTTCTTTCGTAAAACGGGTCCCTTGTTAGGTTTATCATTAGGACCATACTCAAATGCTATTAATCTCTCTTCAATTTCTCCATAAGCAAGAATGCGTTTGGTTGATGCTTCTTTTATCATTGCTAATAATACTCGACTACAGAGACCTAAACAAAAACATTTTTTCTCAAGAAATCAAATCCTTTTCTCTATACCCTCATTAAAATCATGCATGAGATCATTCGGCAACGATGTTGTAGCATGAAAGTTTGTTAATTTTGAAAGCGGACTAATATCAGCAACACCTTGTACATTGGAATCATTATTTAAATTTATAATTTGTTGAACTAGATTATCATGTTGATTTCTTGTTCGATGAGGAGGAGAAATTTCACTTAACGGTATAAGTCTCTGATCGTAGTTTATATGGCAATGTCTACAGAATTGTCCATCATTAAAATTTTTTTGAAATCCACCAATATCATTGGAACCTAAATTATCACCAGCTAAAACCGTGAATGCAAAATTTAATTGAGTACCAAGAGCTGGAACAAAAATTCCAGTCGTCTGAAGTGCATTAAGTTCTTCAACGATTGGTTCAAAAAATTTTATTCTATTCAATTTCACGGGCAAATATTTTGTATGACACATAGCCAAAAGTTCAATCGATTTTAACATCGATCTTACAGTATCAGGAAAATCTGCCAGTTGAAAATATAATATTTGTAATTTTTTGGGTGTCTTTTTTGGCCCCTATTGGGTTGGTCAAGCCAATCTCGTCAATATAAATTTGAAACAACAACGAATCAGGATTGTTCTTTAAAACTGGATGCTGTTTTGCTTGTGACCCATGACGATAATCATATATAAGATCACTATCTTGAGTATTACGATTGATAACGTGATTAAAATTCTTGATTAGAATATCCAACACACACGGATTACTTATCATCTGTTGAATACTGGATTTTATTGGTACATAATATGCTACGTCATTCGGATTTTCCAGTTTTATTTCTTTAACTGGTTCATAGGTAAAATATTTTCTGCATAGTTTCAAAATATTATGTTCATTTTTCGTAACATCCACCATTTTTTTAATAACATTGGAAAATACGTTATTTACATCGGTTAATAACATGAAATCAGTTGTTGATGAACGAGTAGCCGTTCTTTGCTCCACCAACAAAGAACTTTTAATATGTGCTTTTAACAATTCACAAATGAATTCAATCAAGGATCGTACTCCCGATGTAACAACTTGCATAATATTTTGCGGTAAAGAATGACCTTCTCGAAGATCAAGAATAAATTGTAAATAAAACTTTTCAAAGGAGTTTAAATCCTTCTTTTCTTCAGATAGTCCAGGCATTATCTCTTTGAGAGAAGGCCAAGAGATCATATCATCGAAATCGATTTCTTCTTCTACTGCATTTTGTTCATCTTCTACATCATTTAATTCAATTTGAAAATCAAGATCTGTTTCATCACATTCTGAAACTAATGTATCATTATCAGCGTTCTTCTCAAGTTGAATTTCTTCTTGAAATGAATTTTCATCAAGAATGTCAGCATGTTCTCTATAAATGTGACCTCTATACGCAGCAAACGTCGAGTATATTGTTCCACACAATGAACCAAGCTCACATCGAATTTTAAAGTCTGTTTGTCCATCATGCACGTATTGTATATGTTTAAATAATTTTCGGAATGTACAATTGGGTTTGCTTTCAGCGCATAGTGGGCAAAAATAATAATTTTTCGACATATCAATATTACTTACTACTAAAAACATCAAGAACATGTTGATTTCTATTAAAAGAAGATAGCCATTGGATTACTTGTGAACTATTCCACTGTCGAGGATTCATTATCTTTAATTTATTCACACCAATGAAAATAAAATATGATAAACGTGTAAATTCTAAAAAACCGTTCAATATCAAATCAGCTCTAAATGAAGAAATATATATAATATATAGAAGACAAACAATAAGATACGTACATAAAATAGTTGTTGATATAAGTTCAGAAATTTGTTTTTGTTCAAGTAAAACAACACGAAACACAATAATTCAAGTTTAATATGATAAACGTGTAGATTCTAAAGAAAAAGTCCAATATTGAATCGGTATTAACTGATCAAATGAATATAATATGTAGAAAAAACCGATAACACACATATATGAAATGGTTGTTGATATAAGTTCAGGACTTAGTTTTCTTTCAAGTGAAAAAATACGAAAAACAATAGTTTTAGTTTAATGTGACAAACGTGTAGAATATGAAGCAAAAGTTGAAATATCAAACGAGCTCTAAATGAAGAAATGAATGTAACTTGAGAAAAAAAAACAATAACAAACATACATGAAATAGTTGTTGATATAAGTTCAGTAATTTGTTTTCTTTCAAGTGAAACAATACGAAAAACAATAATTCAAGTTTAATATGATAAACGTGTAGATTCTAAAGAAAAAGTCCAATATTGAATCGGTATTAAATGATGAAATGAATATAATATGTAGAAAAAACCAATAACAAATACATGAAATAATTGTTGATATAAGTGCAGGACTTTGTTTTCTTTCAAGTGAAAAAACACGAAAAACAATAGTTTTAGTTTAATGTGATAAACGTGTAGAATATGAAGCAAAAGTTGATATTTTGAGTCAGCTCTAAGTGAAGAAAGGAATAGAATATGTAAAAAAACAATAAGATACGTACATGCAATAATTGTTGATTATGGCGAAAATATAGTAATAAATAAGATTCACTGAAAAATGAATGAACGAAATTAATAAAGCAGCGGTTAGTTGTATCACTTGTTGTGCTGTATGTGATGTCAATAGGGGTTGCTTATGTACGATATATGCTAGCAATACGTTATCATGACGAGGTATGTAACGGAACCTTTTTGAATACGAAACTCGAAAGGGTTTATAACGAAATCTCTTCAGTATCGCAAATTACAAAAGGTTCAGGACGAAGCCTTTGTAAATTTTGAAGCGTTTAGAAGTTTGTTACGAAACCTTGGATATTGCTAAACCTCATACAGGTTTCGTATGATGCTACGGATACTTATATAGTACAGTAAAACTCCACGGAACCTCCAAGGTTTCGTGTGACACTTTTTTTTTTTCAGTGCACCGAAATGTCCGCGAGCTGCGACAAGACCAAAGCATATCTAAAGAAGAGGGCTGGCAATGATTATGCTAACGTGAATCAACTTCAAAGCAACTTACAAACGCAATAAAGATGACAAGTTTGTTCATGTTTAGGTGTCAGATTTTTGTATATTAAACATACGATTTCTTCTCGCTTATTTAGATGTGTGTTCCAATGTTAGAAGACAAGAAAGGGAAAAAACAAGCAAAAGAATACACTTTTTGTTCGGTCATTGGACTCGGTACGAACAAGAGCAGTGAATGACGCATATACACAAAGAACGGTACTATTACTCATTCCTGTTTTTTTGGCATTACTTTATGTCAGGACTCTGAAAAAAAAGTCACAAATAAAATTGATGAAATGCACTCAGTTCTACATCTCAATTGCTACTTTGCACTCGTACGCTTTCTTCAATATGGACTGATGCCATTAATTTCATGAATGGACCAGGCATTGTATCGATCTAGGAGCACAATCTAATTTTCATTATTTTCTAGTCAAATATAAGGTGCACCAAGGGCAAAACATGCGCAAAATTTTTTTTTTCTTTATGTTTTTACATGATTAGATAGAGCTCGTTGAGCTGATCACGAGTATCACCTTTAAAACATTTGTTGGTCACGTTTTGGATGAAAAAACTTCGAAATACGAAAAATAGCTATCAAAATGATCTATTTCGCACTTTTTTCAAGAAATTTCAAAATTTCGATGAATAATAATACTGATGAGACTTCGAAACTATGTTATTCAGATTCAGCATCAAAATTCGAGTAGAACTGTATTA